TCGTTTTGGGACCGAGAACATGATTCTGGATGAACTGCTGCTTCTTGCAAAGAAACAAGAGATGAAGTTAGAAACGAAAAGTAAACATAAAGGTAGTACCGATAAAATAATTTTAAGGCTTACCTGATTCAAAGCTTGCTGTACCCCGTAAAAAAGATCCGATTCATCACTAGTACCGGCAACGTCCTCGATACCAATAAACAGGTCACGAAAGGGATCCTCTCCATCATGACGTCTGTCTAGATCGAGGGCCCCCAAAGCTTGGGCTTCCCGAATCACCCCTGCGAAAAAAGCGGGGAAGGTGGGCGAACCTTCGATTGCTGCTGCCCCAAATGAATCACTTGGAGCATCTTCTTCGGTTCGAAGGGATTCAAGAGGGGCCCCTTCAGACATATCCCCCATCCGTTGGCTCCGATCGGATGCGTCTTCGATCTCCGATAATTCAGGGATTCCTCCCGAATCTTTCTCCGGTATATCCTCAGTTCGAGGCGGAGCCTCAAGAAGTATCATCGATCTAGCTGCCGATGGGCCATCGGTGGTTCTCTTCATTCGGGCCGCCAGCGCGGACCCATCCTTTTCTTCTTATTCTTCTTCGTCTTTATCCCTTATACGCAGAACTGATTCTACGGTCAAAGGAATGACATTCTTGTTCGGCTTGTCCTCTTCTTCAGTTTTGGATCTTCGGGAACAAAGGCTCTTTTCCTTTTATTTTCGTTCACCGGTTTTGGGACGGAGGCCAAAGTTTCTTCCTCGTTGGACAAGGGCCTCAAAACCGCATCTTTGCCCAAACTTACATATGGAAAATTTTATTAAAATATTTGGAAAGCATCTCATTCGAATTATCAAAGAGTACGAGAAAGGGGCTTACCATGATTTTTGGCCTCCCACCGACCCCTTGACAAATCACGCCATGAGCGCTCGAATTATGTGGATGTCGAAACAAGAGCTCGTACCCAGTTCTTAAGATCGGGAACTGCTCCGGGCATCCAGGGAACCGTTGTATCACAAAAAAAAGAGTATCGATGAGAAAAGAAATAAAAGAACAAAATAGAAGGAAGTAACAGCAGGATCACACTTACGTTTCATATTCCACTCCTCGGGAAAGGGCATCTTTTCGGTCGGAATCAGGTACAAAGTCCTCACTCGAACGAACTTGCCCATCCAGCCCTGATCCATGTCCTCATCAATACTCTAAAACAGAGCCTTGGTAGCCCAACGCTGAAGTTTTATTAACCCTTCTCGAAAAAGTCGAGGACGGTACAATCGAATAAGATGGTCGAGGGTGAACGACATCCCCTCAATTTTGTTTACAAAGTATCGGATCAAGATAACGATCCGCCAAAAAGAAGGATGGACCTGGCCTAGGGTTATTTGGTATTGACGACAGAAGTCAATAATAATGGAATCGAGGGGACCTAACGTGAAAAGGGTAAGTATACACATTCAAAAACCCTTTCACGTAAGTGGTGATATCTTTGTGAGAAGTAGGGATTATTATTTCTTTTTTATCCCAATTGCAATCTTTCTTTAGCTGTTTGAGATGCTTCTCGGTTATTGAACACATGTATCTCGATACTGGCTCACATCGGCCAGGGATCGATGAGCCTTTATCGACCTTAAAATCAGAAGTAAGAACACACCCCGGGAACGCACTCCTCAGGCCGTGGTTCTGCCGGTGTCTCATCGGCGACACACTGTGAAGACGAAGCCTTCTCTTTCTGAGGAATGGTTTTGTGATGTTTTCGCCATTTTCGAATTCAAAGGTGAGGAATAGAATAAAGTGACGAAGATTTGGTAAAATTGAAGAGGGGCTTTTTGCAAAGAGAAATCACAGATTTGCGGGCAAGTTAGAGAATACGAAAAGGGACTTGAGAAATTTGGAAGATTGGAGATGTAAAAGTAGTAAATGATGAAAGGAAGGGTTATTTATAGGTTTAAGCGATGGCGGTTCAGTATCAGCAGTGGCCGACCACCGTCTGACATGCATTAAATGCCTTGAAAGACTAAATCGACGGGACAGCTATCACGTGCGTCATGATCGAGCCCGATGGAAACGTCAGTTTATAATCTGATTGAGCCGTTGAAAAATCATATCGTTTCTCACCACATTCTTCCTGAGAAACGAGGAGACTATCCACAAGTCTACCAGGCCATAATAATCAGTCAATCATCTCTAGATACAAAAAATGAACGACCAAACCTACAGCAGAGATCAACTTTAAGTTTCACTTATTTCTGATTTTTATATTGTAGACGTGGCTATTTAATGGGGTATTGATTCAACTGCTACTTAAAATTATGGAAGAAGCTTTGCTATTGGTGTGGTCATAAATACAAGTGGGTGGCGTCAGTCTTTTTCTTGGAGCAAACTAAATTATTTCCCTAAAAACAAGGGATACCATACTTTTGTTTATTATTTCCTATTTTAATTGGTTTTTTGATTTTTTTATGAACTATAATATTTGATTTTTTCAGATATTAATAAAGAATTAACTTTTTTTTTTCAAAGTTGTTTTAGGAGTGAAGAACCTAAATGTATTTATTGTATTTCTAATGAACAAATTAAGGTTAATATAGTCAATTTTATTGTTCATTAATAATAAAAATTAAATTCTTTAATATGTGTGAAAATATTTAAAAAAATCAATTAAAATGGACGTAGGATGAAAATGATCACACAAAGTCCGCGTATTGATCACTTTTTTCTAAGTAGGTGAAAATGCACATGTTTCAGGACTTAATACACTTTGACTAATATTCATTACTTCTTCGGTCCTATCTTATACTGGTGTTACTATTTAGGAAGCCAAATATTTTTTTTAGACTATAATTATTTAATTTTTAAAAATATTTTTAATTATTAATTATAAGAAGTTTTTAATATAATTTTTATATGTATAAATTTTATTTTTAAAAAATTAAAGAACTAATGCTCGAATTTCACTTAATACTCTGAATTAGGGGTGTACATGGACCGGATTGTTCGTTTTTTATAAACCAAACCAAACCAACTATATCGGTTTCGATTGGTTCGATTTTGTCTGTTTTTTCGGGTTTTCAAATTTTTTTAAATAAATATTATTTCAATTTTTGTTAAAGTTATAAATAAAGTTGTAATAAGTAAATATATGTTTAGTAAAAATTAAAGAAAAACTGACAAACATATGATTTATTAAAATATTCTTATGAGAGAATATTTTAAGTAACACATGATAGTTATGTTTTTAGTGGTTTAAAAATAATTTTTCGTTAATGTATGCTTTCAAGTTTAACCAAATTTAATAATTAAACATGAAAATAAATATAAAACCAAAATAATGATATGTTCTATTTATTTTTGAAATGATCGAAATATCATTTCAAATTCGAAGAAGATATAAGATTTAATAGATCTTGGCATATGAATATGAAAGAACAAATAGATTGACACATTTCGATAAGAAAGCGATGATACAACCCATTATTTAAAGTAAATAAAAATGGATGCTTTTTATAGTTCTATTAAATACTATATCCCATGAGTGGATCCCAATACTTCTAGATATTTTTAAAGAAAATTCTATATAAAGTCTTAAAGTATATATAAAATTATATATTTATATTTCGGTTTGGTTCAAATTTTTTTACTCCATACCAAACTAAACCTAGTCAGATTTTTTAATCGGGTTGATTTGACTTTTCGGTTTGGTGCGATTTTCCGGTTCGGTTTTAATACCCCTATTCTGAATACCTTCACAAGAACAACACCAACAAATCTAACGTAATCTCACAAGTGAGGTCTGAGGAGGGTAGCGTGTATGTAACATAATTCCTACCTAGGTAGAGACATTATTTTCGATAGACCCCGGCTCAAGCAAAACACAATCATAATAGTATTTAGAAGAGATACAATAATAAAAAATTCCAGAAAAAAGCAATATCAACAACAAGATTCCGAATGCCTTCACAGTTCACATACATTGAAATAAGAAGGAAGTAATATTTTTTATTTCTCTTAATTAAAGTTGTTGAAGATCCCTACGTACATAGCTGAAACTTCCTAGTTCCTACCACCTGGGGTCTTGTCGAAACAACAAGCATAAAAAGGTTATATATGCACAAGCTATAGTGGGAGAAGAATAATGAGCATTACATGACTGGTTGTTTTTTAGTTTCACTCTACCACTCCTTTCACATGGCAACTAATTTGTATACAAAATACTATTTTCTTAGTACTTATAAACATTTGACAACTGGTAAAATTCACTGGAGATTTCACCGGACTAATCAGATCACAACTGTGGCCTTCCCACTTCTAAAATAATATTGAGAAAGACAAAAACTTCATAGACACTCATTCTTTTGCAGAAAACATGTGGAAAGAAAGACTTCATACACTCCACACTTTTATCTCAGTAATGAACTAAGAAATAGCCTCCAGTTTGTTGTTATTGTTATTATTCTTTTGTAAATAGGCGTGGGTAATAAAATATCAAAGCAAAAGCTTGTGCGTATAGTAAAAGAATCTCGAGTTCTAATTTCTAAAAGCAATTTTACTACATTTTTGGTCATTGGAAAGACAATCATATACAAACAAGACAACGGAATAGGAATACTTCTCCTATTTGTACGGAGCTATTTGTTGGACCGTTTTTGTATAATGGGCGTAGAACGATTTGTTGGACTATCTTTTATGTATACTGGGCTTTCTTGGGTCCAACTAAATAGGATACTTCCCCAACAGTTTGGCTAAAGTGGCCCAAAGGTTGATAGCCCAAAGAATATTTAACTCTATTCCAGACTGATGCTTTCGTCGATTCAAGAAAACAAAGAATTCTTCATGTAGACTCACATATTCATGTATGTACTTTTAGAATGGATGGTTCGTGACATTAATGAGTGAGATGGACTGAAAGAATTCGAAAAAAATAAAGAAAGATCATGGCATTGATTGGGGAATTGAAGAAAGAAATAGTAAAGGAAAGCATGAGCTAGAAAAATTTGAACATAAATTACCAAGTTCACATTACCTGCACAGAACAGGAAAATAACCGCATAATAACAAGAAGGAAGAAAACTCATGCAATACACAAATATTGACAGTTAAAAGATTTAATTTACAACGTAACCAGAAGGCAGAAGTTATCAAGCATTTGTAGCTGGAACCCTGACTCGCTTCTTTTTCTTCCGGTATAAGCAAAAGAGAGCAATAGCAAACGCTAGGAAGAAGACACCGCCAATTGATACGCCTACGGCTATGATTGTTGTTATGTGTTTTCCACCTCCCCCAGGCGGAGGAGGAACAACATTAATACTATTACTTGTGGAGGAGAAAAAGTAGTCGACGGAATATTTGGTGTGGGAAGTGGTGTTAATGCTGAAGGTGGAGAGAGTGAATAAGGAACTTTACCACCTTCTGAAGGTGGTGTTCTTGGTGAAGAAGCTGGAGATTGCGAGGCATTTGGTGGTGAATAAGTTGGTGAAAGTGGAATCTTGGAATTGTTTGGTGATGGTGAACTCGGAGTTTGTGGTGGTGAAAGAGGACTCTTGGAATTGTTTGGTGGTGAACTCGGAGTAATTTGTGGAGGTGAAAGAGGAGGACTATTGGAATTGTTTGGTGGTGAAGTCGGTGTTTGTGGTGGAGGAGATGTTGGTGTTGGCAATGTTGGAGGAGGGTATGTAGGTGGTGTATCCTTACTACCACCAGGAGGTGTTAAATTTGGCGGTGTAGTTGAAGGAACCGCCGCCACCGGAGGTGGTGGTTTCGGATCATTAGACGGCAGGGTTGGTGGAGGTGGAGAACAATAAGTATAAGCCATTGCAATGCGCCTACGGGAAGGCATTTTTATTGCAATTATTATAGCTNATATATATATATATATAGTGCATTAATGTTTACGTATCTTACACAGTTTAAAGTACACTTTCAAAGTGGAAATGATTAAGGATATTTGTTGTAACCTATTGTTTTGAAACAAGAACAACGGGAGCATTTAATTAAAGAGAAACATATACGTAGAAATGATATAAGCATACAAACAAGAAAATCAAATTGAAATCAATGACATACTTGTCAAGAGCAGTTTTGTCCACTTAAGTTTATTTTCAAGTAATACAGCAAAGAGGACTGCAAATCCGTTCATATCGCCATATTTAACGCAAACATTCAACAAGAGCCGTGAAAATAACATTTACATTCAAAGAGAAATATGAATACATGAGTAGTCAGAAGTTATTTATTGAAAGCAAGGGAAATAGTATGAAGTCCCAAATAAAGGCCAGAAATGAGTCGGGAATGGAGCGTCAACAGAAAAGAGCAAGAGCAGAGGTCGCCGAAAAATCAGATTTCCGGCCAAAAATTCTCAGTATCGATTTGCCTCATGAAAAGGTCGCCAGAAAATTATAAGGTCAACGGAGAGAACAAAATCCGGCCAAAAATCCGGATCTGTACTTCATATAGCAACAGAAAATATAACAAGAAATAGAGACCAGACAAAAAGGGAACGAGAATAAAGGGGGTGGCTGCCTTTTCTTGAGAGAATGAGAGAGATGAGAGCTCTCTTTTGGACTGAGTTTTGCTGGCCTTTGGTTCTGGTTTTGGTGTCTGTTATAGGTGGCTTAAAGGAGGAGTTACAGTGGAGTTATTTGGTGAAAACTCTATTTTAGGAAGAGATCAGGGCTCCTCGTGCTCTCTCTACCATTTTTTTTTAATCTTTTTCCCCGGTTCTATCTGTTTTCTCTCCCCTTTTTTGACTTTCCTCTTCCCCTTTTTAATTTTCCTCCTCCCTCTTTTGACTTTTTATTGTATGTATTTGGGGTAAAGATAAATTTACTTTTTTTTTTGTGAGTGTCAGTGTGTGTTGGTGGAGGGATTATGTGAGGGAAGTGCACGGGGAAAGTGAGGGTGTGAGTGGAAAAATATTCACGCATAGTCAAAAATTAGGTGCCCACAGCATGCCCCTCTTTTCTTGGAAACATGAAGAGTTTTCAAGCAAAGACAAGGTGAGCGATACGACTAATTTTTGGCCATACCATTATTCAAAAGGAAAGAGAGAAAAAAGTGCAACCGAGTCCTGATTTTGGACGGCCTACATATCCTGGTTTATAAGGGAATCAGGTCGCGTGTAATTCAAGAAAAAGGATGGAATGCTGAGTTGGAGAGTCGAGTGAGGTTCCGTCGAGGCTCCGGTCTATAGTCGTGTTATTACATCAAAATCAAAAGAGACTAAATAATCCTATCAGCTATGAGTTACAAGATTCATATATATAAGTCTTCTAAAACGTGATCTTGAGTTTTGACTGGTTCTTTACGCATACTCTAATGTGAACCTTGATGCTTGCTCGTTGCAGGTGCCAGTTCATTCTTCTACGGCCTCTTCTGATGAAGGCGGGAAATGCAATGCTCGTGACTTCAGTCATGTCTTGAACAGTTCACATCTTTTCATCCGCTTCTGCAATCTGGATTCACTTTTTTTTTATTTTCTTTTCTTTATTTTGGATTGAGACTTCTTCTTCGCCTCAAGGTAAAACCTGCTCAGACACCAAAACAAACAAACAAATAAAATTTTTCTGCCCCTGTTTTCACTAGAAAAATTTCGTGCGTTATTTGTAACAAAAATCTATACTACTTCATTATTGAAAGCAATAAAAGGTCAGGATTGGTGTACCCTGGGAAAACATGATTCTTTGGGAATGGTGTACCCTGATTGTCTAAATGGTGCCTCAACTAAGGATTGGTGTACCTTATGTTGGGGAAATACAATGCGGAATAGTGTACCCTGATACTGGTAAGGAGACTAAGGAGTGGAGACCCTATGTCTAAAAAATAAAAATCAACTAAGAAGTGGAGACCCTATGTTAGAAAACACAACTAGGGATTGATGTACCCTGATACTGGTGAAGAAAAGTAACCAGGGGTTGGCACCCTGTATTACAGAAAAAGAATATAATCAGGGATTTGTACTCTATATTACTGAAATAAATATAACCAGGGGTTGGCGCCCTGTATTATTGAAATGGAAATGTAATCAGGGGTTGGTACCCTGTATTGCTAAAAACAAAGTGTAACCAGGGGTTGGTACCATGTATTACTGAAAGAAAATGTAACGAGGGGTTGGTACCTTGTATCACTGATAAAATACCGGATCCCTTGGGCGAAAAGGTTCTACCTGGGGTAAACTACCAAAAGCAAGCCTAGGCGAAAAGTACTTCTATGCGGAAATAGGAGCTGGATCCCCCTAGGCGAAAAGGTTCTACCTGGGTTAAGCTACGTAAAATAACCTGAGCGAAGAGTACTTCTACCCGGAACTATGAGCTGGATCCCCCTAGGCGAAAAGGTTCCACCTAGGTTAAGTTATGTAAAACATCCTGAGCGCAGATTACTTCTACCCGGAACTATGAGCTGGATCCCCCTAGACAAAATGGTTCTACCTGAGTTAAGCTACGTAAAAATACCCTGAGCGAAGAGTACTTCTACCCGGAACTATGAGCTGGATTCCCCTAGGCGAAAAGGTTCTACCCGAGTTAAGCTACGTAAAACATCCTGAGCGAAGAGTACTTCTACACGAAACTATGAGCTGGATCCCCCTAGGCGAAAAGGTTCTACTTGGGTTAAGCTACGTAAAACATCCTGAGCGAAGAGTACTTCTACCAGGAACTATGAGCTGGATCCCCCTAGACGAAAAGGTTTTACCTGGGTTAAGCTATGTAAAAAACCTCAACGAAGAGTACTTCTACACGGAACTATGAGCTGGATCCCCCTAGGCGAAAAGGCTCTACCTGGGTTAAGCTACATAAAACATCCTGAGCGAAGAGTACTTCTACCCGGATCTATGAGCTGGATCCCCCTAGGCGAAAAGGTTCTACCTGGGTTAAGCTACGTAAAACATCCTAAGAGAAGAGTACTTCTACCCGGAACTATGAGCTGGATTTCCCTAGGCAAAAAGGCTCTACCTGGGTTAAGCTACGTAAAATAGCCCGGGCGAAGAGTACTTCTACCCGGAAATATGAGCTGGATCCCCTTAGGCGAAAAGGCTCTACTTGGGTTAAGTTACGTAAAACATCCTAAGCGAAGAATACTTCTACCCGGAATTATGAGCTGGATCCCCCTAGGCGAAAAGGTTTTACTTGGGTTAAGCTACGTAAAACATCCTGAATGAAGAGTACTTCTAACCGGAACTATGAGTTGGATCCCCCTAGGCGAAAAGGTTATACCTGGGTTAAGCTACGTAAAACATCCTGAGCAAAGAGTACTTCTTCCCGGAACTATGAGCTGGATCCCCCTAGGGGACAAGGTTCTACCTGGGTTAAGCTAGGAAAATGAGAGGTATGAATAGTAGGGACGCATGTTGAAAATAAAAGAAAATGGAGATTTTGAGGAACTTACCTTTTGTGATGTTCGTCCTTTGAGAATTGCCATTATGCGCTGCTTTATTCCTGCTTCAAACAAAGAAAAATTGTGAGTGTTCAAAGTAGTGGTCAGTCTGTGGCCTTGATGCCCTTACCGTGGTTGGGTGCCTTTTCAATGTATCCGTTCGCTTCAAACGAGAGCCCTGTAATCGGTCTTACCATCATTTCTTTGCATTTATTTCGACACGTTATACCGAAAGGGATTCAAAGAAAAACAACAATGGAATGGAGAATGAGTTTAAACAAGAGCTGTCCCTTTCGGAGAATAAAAATTAAAGAACTTATCTAGGAGTACATGTGGACTTCAATGAACATCACATGCCTTGGACCGGACGCCTGATCCTTGTAAACCCTCCGACCCTTAAAAATTCATCACAATATTTTGCCTCGAAACCGAGAAACCTTGCCCGGGATTGTGTCGATGCTAGTGACTGTGAGGATCCTCTTTTCGATTAGTAGTGCCCTTTGCGGGTTTTCACCAGCTGACCTCTCTCATTTTTCTTCTCACCATCGCCTTATAGTGCTCTTTGCGAGCTTTCACTAACAAGACTCTCTCATTTTAGCCTCTTTACTCCCTTATCGCCTTACGGTGCCCGTGAGGGTTTTCACCAATAAGATTCTCTCATTTTATTTCTCTTAATTTGGTTGCATCAGATCCAAGTGACTGTATCCTCTAACTTTGAACATTCTCGTTGATTGATCGGAAGGGCTTGAAAAGGATTTGGGTAAAAAAAGATTTGGATTGAATTACAACTTTGGAACCTTTCAGGCGAACCCATCGCCGAACCATTATAACATCTGCCCCAGTTTCAATTTTTGGGGGAATGTAGATTTTTATTTTGGTGTGACTGAACCCCAAAGAGAGGCTGCCTACGTATCCTTTCGGAATCAAGTCGAACGTAGTTCAATGCATGAACTTGTTTGGATATTGTTTTGTTTTCTTTTTGTTCTTCTTTGTCTTTTATTTTTTTATTTTTTTATTTTTTTTCTTCTTTGTTTTCTTTTTCTTCTCTTTTTTCTTTCTTGTTTCTTTTTTTTAATAACATCTTCAGGTTTCAAAGAGGGTAATCAAAGAAAGGTAACCGGCTCAAAAGGGTTAGCAAAGGATTGATGGTGTTTGAATAGCAAGAATGAAAGCATTTTTCATCCCAATCAGAGAACATTAATGCTACATAGAGGGTCAAACATAGTACCTTTTGACTGCATCCACGTTGACGGTAGTTTCAGGGATATTTCCTTCGATGATTCTCAAGTACAACGCTCTCTTTTGCATTACTCTCGTTACAATGTATGGACCTTTCCAATTTGGAGCCAATTTTTCCTTAGCTTCTTCATGAGGTGGGAGGATACATCTCAGAATGAGTTGTCCTATTCCAAATTTCTTGGGCCGCACTTTCTTGTTGTAGACACAGACCATTCTTTGTTGGTACAACTG